GCATTAAAGGATTTTCCAAATGGCTGTCATCACCGTCGGGTCAGTCGGGTCAGTCAGGTCTTGTTAAAATCTTCATAATTTTGTATAAGCAGACTAACCCAGCACCATTTAATCTTCTATCAGTGGATCAGACTAGTGCCAGTGATTTAATGCTGGATATTTTCATTTACTACCCAAGTATGGCCCTTATCCATCCCTTCATACCCACAATATGGGATCACAAACACATCATTAACATCAAATCATTGCAGTCTGCTTTCTATATGGATATGGGCATATCCCCTTCATAGGATCAGATTATTATCTGGGTGAGGCAAACTGGAAGATTTGCTTTAGATATGTGCAAATCTGCAAGAATTGCCATCAAATTTGTATGCCAGAAATCTTAGGAAGGTTTCTTATGGACCTTGATGAATAGATGCAAGGATCGGTTCAGTCATTTCAGAAGGTAAGCCTAGCATTAGCATTGTGTATCTAATAAAGTGGCCAGTAATTAATTAATAATCTCTATTTGCTTTTTTTTAATGAGAAGATACCTCTTAATGCCTAAACTATTAGTCTAAACTAACTTTGCATCAAGTCCTTTGTAAAAATGAATCTTACAGTCAAAGATCAGCTCTTTGGGTTGGCAAACACAAATATGTTTTGTCTAACTTCATTTTAGCCACCACCAACGTATGAGGAAACGTTTTACTCCACCCTGCAAGCACCTCCGGCCAATGTTCCAGGTGTGGACATTCACCGGCCCACACATCCCTACGACGAGTCCCCACTCTCACGTGAAGAAACACTTGCCTCAGCTGCACACAATTCCATGTGCAGGTCTTCAAGTTTCAGGATCCTGTCTCCCTGATGGGTAAAACACCCCTGCAAGACATTTCCGCTCTTGAAGGCACCTCAATGACACAAGGGAAGATTTTCTGCAAAATTGGACACCTTTGAGTTAGAGAAGCTGATAAATCTGTTTCATCTCTGGGAATTTGCAGGATTATGACTCAAACTCAAGCTTTTCCACTCCTCCAACCTGAGAATGACACCCCAATGCACTTATTAGAATATACATATTTGGTTTCCTGTAGTTTCTGATTAAATATCCACATCTTCTGTGTTTCTTCTGAATCTAATGAATAAAAAAAACATTTTTTTTTTTTTACATATTCTTTAATTAAAGCCCTTTTTTTCATAGAGGTTGAAAATAATTTGTAACAGGTACCAACCAGTCAGTAGAAGGCTGCCAAAAACAGCAAACCTGTTAGATAAAATTGAGAAGCCACAAATCATATTGTCCCATTCACATCATTTATAACTTGGTAACAGAATGTGGTTTGGTCTCATGAAACCAAACCTGGACTTTTGGACCATGATTACAGACCTCAATGTTGATTAACAAACAAATGTCCAAAAATGGATGTAATCGTGGTAGAATCACGATCTGTTTGCATCAAAACATTCTAAATACTAGTCGGTTTTCACGCACAAAACAAGAAGAAGGGTTATATATCCCGGTAATATAGACAAATTAATATGAGATTACCATCATCATAGGAACGGCCAAGCTCCAGTCCTGAACTAAAACAGGATAAAAATCTGTGAGCTCATCTAAAGAGCATGCCGGTCCATAAAAATCTTAGCGATCTGATCAAACTTGATCACAGCGGAGAAAAATATGCCAAAAGTAAAAGAATTGCAGAAAAAGAAAAATGGTCTTCTAAAACCTGTTAAGTGATCTTTGAAATATATATATATTTTTAATAAATTGTATTTATTAATATTGCTGCTCAAATATTTTCAATATTCAGTCCTGTACTGAATCCCAACTGATTTTAGATGAATTTGCTTATTGCCTTCCCAAGTGGGTTCTGGTAGTTTGACACAAAGCCCACCTGCATGAGTGGATTTTCTCCAAACACTCCGGCTTCCTTCCACAGTCTAAAAAAATTACTGTTTATTAACTAATTAGCGTCTCTAACTTGCCTTTAAGTGTGACTGTTTGTGAACATGGTTGTATGTCTCTACACAGTAAGTTTTGCAGTGTTAAAGTAACACTTTAAGAGTGCATTTGGTCTCACTCTGAATTAGTTTTAAATTAGAACTCTACGTAGTGTATATCTTACTCCAGTTGTTGTTGTAATGACTCTAAAAGAGTCAATGTACTTTGACACTACATATTTAACTCTGTGGAATTTACTGTGTACCCTGTGACAGACTGGCAGTCTGTCCAATATGTACCCCGTCTTCTGCACATAGACCCCTGGAGACACTGTAGGCAGTAGCCCCACATCGGATCTTGATGGATTAATCAAATCTTACCTTTAGACTCTGCAATGTCTGGCACTTAAAACATCAAGTTCAACCAAGTGTTACCTGAACACATACAAAGTTAAATATAATTGTTTCCGATAAACATTTGGTCCCACTCCAAATCAGTTTAACTTTACTCTATAGCCAGTGTCAGATTTTCAGAGTTAATTTTACTCATATTAGTAAATCAAGAAGAACTCTCAGAAGCTGTCGGGTAATCGACACCATATAGAGTAAAAGTTACACGGCATGGCTGTAAACTTTTACACAGATTATAGTATAAATACTCCATGTAGAGTTAAATAGGTGAACTCTAAATTTTCAAAGGTGATGATAAATAAAGAGAGTTTGCTTCCATTTTAAAATGTCAGAATTAGCGTTGAGTTTGAAGCTTTATATAGGAGCCCAAAAACTTGTTTTGGCTTAGAAAACATGCAAATTGAACCAGAGGAATGAGTCCTCCCCCTTAGGAATGAGGAGTCGTTTTGGGTTCTTTGTTAGCCTGCAACACCCAATACTGGTCTGTGCCTCTAAAAGGGGGGTTGTTGGGGCAGAGAAGCGAAACATCTCCAAACTTGGAAACAAAGTCCAGTAGGTGTTTTTTTCTACTTTTTTGGAATAAATATGACCTGGATGACTGAGAATCTTCACCAGCATGCTAAATAAAGGCCTTTCTATGTTTTCTGTTGTAGATACTCCTTTAAGTATGAAAGGTGGGTTTCTAAATTAAACAACTTGTCCATTAGAAGATGTTAAGGTTTAAAACTCCAACTATTTTCGTGCCATAAACTCTGTCGATATTAGCTGGTGACCTGGTCTTTCTGTGCTGCAGGAGGGAAAGCCAGTCTGGTGAGGTGGTGTTTGCTGAAACTGTTAAGAGGGAAAGTGAGGAAGTTACTTTTTAACTGGGGTCAAACATTCACCACAGGAATGAAGGTACAGCCAGCCAGCTGCAATGGGATACATTCCAGCTTCTCACTTTCATAAATTAAAACCAAAACTTCCTATATATCTTTTTTTTCCTGTTTTAGGATAAGGAAAGGTAAAGCACTTCATAGTTAAAATGTTTGATTTTTTTTTTTTTTTTTTTTTAAGATAAGGTCTGAAAAATGTGCCATGTTTACTCAAGTGTCCTCACTGATTAGAAGCAAATTTTACTGCATTTAAAGCTGTGGGTTTTTAAGGACATGTCTGTACCAGCTTTCTACATACATCATTTGCAACTTCCTCTTTTTCCTAAGTACCGTAAGATTAGTCACACCGGATGGATATTGTCAGTAAAAAGCCGTTTTCAAGCTTTGCCACAGATCCTTCATTAGGTCCCTAATCACATACAAAAATATATTTACATAAATTATTTAGCAGGTTTACTACTTTTCCCCATTTCTAGCCAGTTGGTGGAACTGAGCTTTACAAGATATAAAGTGAGTTTAACAACTTAAGTTTGCTTTAACCTGAAGAATGTGGAACCTAATCATTTGTGTTTGTCTCCCCAAGCCAATAATGTTGACTTTTGTATTCGTAATAAAAACAGCCGAGGTTGTTTTACATGGCACTGTAAATGCAGATAAGCTAAATCACTAGAATCTTAAACTATTGAAAGCAATGAGCCTGAAAATCTAGAATAAATGGAGAGGCTCAGTTAACCAGAAAATCAGAGTAGGCTCCAATGTAGAAATATTTCTGACCTAAAATGACCCAAAAACAAATTTGACCCAACATGGGTGCTACTCCTCACATCAATCATTCCCTTCTGCTCCGGTATAGCATTCCACCTCCCTGCTTTACACCAAGTGTCACCAACACACTCCCTCTGCATACCACCGAGCTCACAGATAACTGCAGCTCTTTATCTCCAGTTCTCTGTGAAAAAAAAAAAACATTTGGAGAAACCGCCAGGTCAATGAGTCTTTACTGTTTTCAGCCAGTTTCTCTAGAAAGATTTGTTAAAAGTCAGAAAAAGTTTCAAAAACATGCTTAATAAGCCATATTTAAAAAAAACGGGATGTGACACCTACTGGCTAAAGTAGGTATTCACCTTTTCTAGCAACAATAAAAGTGTGGATTTTGCCCGCCACACTTTCACCAAACTTCACCCCTCTAGAGAAAGAGATGCATTTAAGACCAACTTAACAGATAACTCATCCTGGCTTGATTTGAAATGGAATTAAGTAGATTCTACATATTACCAGTCCTTTCATGGTCGAAATTCTCTTTACATGGGGAAAAAAACAAAAAACAAACCACTATTGCAATATATTTGTTTATTGTGCAGCTACTCGTTTAAAAAAAGGGATTGTGCGACACCTGGTGGTTAAATGAGGGAATGACTAGTTCCTCTCTTCTATACAAGTTTGCCTTAAAGGAAGAAAAAAAAAAAAAAACAACTTGATTTTTTACTCCAAATAGGACCAAATGCAGCGACTCAAACATGCTCACCACAGTCACCCAAAAGAAAATCCACCCAAGGCCAAAGATTTTACATATAATATTTTATTACCGCAGATCCAAGGCTCATAAATGACCTTAACATGGAGAGAAATCTGGATTAAATGTCACATTCCTAATCTGTCTCATCTGCAATTATTCTGGAGCTGTAATAAATACGCTGCTGACAGAAAAAACTCTTTTTCAATAAGAATCAGCTCTGAATACAACAGTATGTGTGTAAAAGTTAGTTCTTCAGGGAGGTTTGTTCTTTCTGTTCAGTTCCAGAGGAAGTCAGAGCGGGACGGTCAGTATAACCAGAAACAGACAGCCAATCAGAGTCTATCCAGTCCATTGACTTCCTGTTATTGTTCTGTGAATGAGTCGTCACTGAGCTCCCACTCTTCAGACCAGGTCTACCAGTTTAAATTTCCCCTCCTGTTTCACTGGCAGCACGTTGATGAAGGTCTTGTAGAGCACGGCTCCTTTGGGCAGCTTGGTGATGACTCTGGTGACCTCAGCGGTTCGGGGAGGGGGGATGTAGACCTCTTTGGTGAACCTGACCAAGCCGTCCTCCAGTGCAAATAGGGTATTGTTGGTTCCCATGCCAACCTGCAAGACAGAGAGATTAGAAACCTCGTTACACTCCCTATGAAACAGTTTATATTTAATGGGAAAAAAAAGTTTGGTATTATAATTGCTCGTTTTAAACTCTAATGGTGCATTCACACCGGAAGCGGTGACAACGGCGAGTGGCGTGGATTCAAAAAGACTCCTTATATAAACCGCTTGAGAAGGGCGGTGAAGCGGCGAACTCCATGCGGTGACAACGTTCACTTCTTCCTCACCTCGCTGCTACTAGGTAGAGCTGAGGTGTTGTCAAACAGCAGCGCCGCATCTAGAGAGGAGTGGTGATCGCTGAAGTTGAAATAAGCTGAACGTTTCTTTGAAATCACGGTAGCCAATCAGGGACTGGTTGTAGGTGAAGCTTTTTCAATTAAAATGGAATACAGAGATAAACAATATTAATAAAGGTATAAATAAACAATGTGCTCAAGGGGTTTTTAGGTGTTTTTAAAAGCTGCTTTACTTTAGTCTTTGAAGGACTGTTAATTGTCCTTACTTCCTCACTGCCCAGCATTGGTGCTTTTTGAGGGGTTAGATTGACAAGGAAGTCACGAATCAGACAAAATCAGAGCTACGTTGGGATAAAACCAAACTGGACTCTTTGTTTCAGAGCTTTTCGGGCTTATAAAAAAAGAATGATCGTCTCCCAAGGTGATTCAAAACTTGTTCATAGAAAACAATTTAGCATTAGTCCATGATGTTAAGTATCACCTGTGCTTTTATTATGAAATGTCAACAAACATTGAGACCTTGACAGGAAATGACACAGATTTGCCAAGGGTAACAGTAGGTCCAAAGAAGGGGGTTTGGGAGGCTGGTGATCATTACAGCCTGTTGTTAAAGATGGGCTTTGTGTCTGCACCTTGAAGCTCTCTCTCTCTGGTTCTTTTTCCTGAAAAGAACTCGGCACAAACTCTTATCCTACTAACTTATATGTATTATATAACCAGGAGACATGACAACACTCAGATCGGAGAAATTGCTTCGAGTTTACAGAAGGCAGCTGCTCACCTCTGGGCTCACTTCTCAGGAAGTTGCTCCGATTAACAGTTAAAAAGGCATTTTATACATCTCCAGTCTAACATATTTTACATTATACACATTAGCAGATTAGACATCCATGGCTCCAGCCTTATCAAAATATTACATTTGTTCTTAGCTGAAGGACAATGAGATTCCATTCCCAAATCTTTGCCACATACAGAATGAAGATTATAACTGTATATCCGGACACAGAAACGTCCTAATTAGATAAACTATTGTGGAAAACATCAGTTCTGATATGCAGTAGGCAGCCAAGGTCTAATAAACTCACATCATCAATGATAATTATCCTAACACACTAAATAAGGATCAGGAACCAGTGAAGTGCTACCGACTACTACAGGGGTGCTCAAGTCCAGTATCAAGAGCTACTATCCAGCAACCTTTTGATGCACCCCATTTTTAACACACCTGAATCAAATGAGCGGCTCGTTACCACGCCTTTGCTGAGCTGAATGATGGGATTGAGCTTTTCGATTCAGGTGCATTAGAGAAGAGATGCATCTAAGAGTTACAGGAAAGTAGCTGTTAAGGACTGGACTTGGAGCATCCCATGTCTACTAGGATGGCGACATCATTGGTCCATATTAAAAATAATTATATTTTTTATGCAGTCCAGAGTGTAAACAATGAGCATCTGAAATGCAGAGCGGTGAACTACCTGCAGAGCTCCTGGAAATCCCTGTGTTTACTGGCTGCTGTGTGAACGCACCATAAGAACAGCATTTAAGGAATGCTAAAAACATTTAACACACATCAACAGATATTTAATTAAACCAAAACAGGACGGCTCTTTGTTTTCCTCTGAAACTGGTTTAGTATTAAACTTTCCTCCCTGCAAATAAAAACCTAAAAAGGGTAACTCACATGTGCTCCGGGGTGATACCTCATCTTCCTCTGTGTTGCAAGGATGTTCCCAGCATGGACAAACTCACCTTATGAGCAAAAGAGGAAAATATTTAGCACAAAGTAGAGGGGGTGCATTTCAAAAGCAGCTTTCAGAACCTCAAGAGCTGCTGATAGTAAAAGTTGATAATAGCAAATATAAAATGTAAAACCAGCAGTGATATTCAGAGCATACGTGTGGAACAGTCAGATCCTGTGATTTATGCCATCAGGAAAATAAAACTACTGAGAAACACAGATGATGGAAACATTTGAAAACATGTCCATCTGATTACATTTGTTGTTTCTCATCATGACAGAATGTTGCATAGATGTGACTCAAAAATAAACAAAACTATTTATCCCTCATCAGAAACCAATAGACTCTAAAATCAAGGACCTTAGCAGGAACACTGCTCTCCCGAGGAATTAAGGCATGGCATATCTCTCTCACTCTCTCTCTCTCTCTCACACACACACACACACTTTTTATAAAAGTATTTTTTTTTTTAATAAAGCATTTTAAATGCCACGATAATGACATTTAATGAATTTTAATGCCAACTAAGGCCTTAATATAAAAGACAATATTTTAATGACTTAATGATTTTTAATGACCCGCAGAAACCCTGAATATACCTCCCTACCCCTGTTACAGTGTGCCAAGGACTTAAAAAAAACAAATACAATGTGCAAATATTGTACATTGCATTTGTACAATATGTATACTATTGCCCGTGTATACTGGAAACACGGGTAACTTGCAGGCTCACCTACAGAGGTACCACACTGTCAAGCTAGCAGCACCAAAGACGCCACAGCAACCTGTAGACCCGAAGCAAATGACCTCAGACAGCACCACTTTTATGGGTTTTTATCTACCTCGACCAGTGCCATCAGGATTACCGACTCACTGGTGCGTTTTATCTGCCTAGATTTGCGTCCTTACTGCTTGGATGAAAATAGAGGCTTATCGGTGCATGGTAAATACACTGGAGCCATTACCTCATCCCAGCCTCTCGCCAAGAAGTACGAAGAAGTCAAAGAACGTGTCAAAACTTCACTAAGTTCAGCTGCAAGAGTGGCCCTTACGTGCGATGGTTGGACGTCTCGAGCCACAGAATCATGTGACGATCACGTCATTTCATTACCAAGGTCTGGGAGCTAAAAGTGTTCGTTTTACAAACAAGAGCCATGAATGAGAGCCATACAGGAACAAACGGCGCTGGATTTGTGGGGCATAGCATCCAAAGACACAGATAATGCAGCTAACATGACCATTACAGCTGTGCTAACTGATACGTTACATTTCAATTGCTTAGCCCATACCCTTAACCTTTTTTTTTCTTCCTGATTACGACATCAGTGTAAAAAAATATAATATTTGGCTGATTTTGTTGATTGAATAACAGAATTAATTTGAAAGCAACAAATATCAATATTGGAGTCAAATCCAATAAAGCTGAGCTACATCGAGAATCGTATCGTGAGCTGTGTATCGAGAATCGTATCGTATCGGCTCATTCCAGATGATACCTAGCCCTGGCATCAAAACAGTATTAATACAGTTTGGTAACGCTTCATGACGCCTCATGAAGCCATCACTACTTATTCATTTACAAGTGAGTAAAATCAAGCATATCTGAAAAGGTTATGTTGACTTAAAATAAGATTATGAATCGAAAATAACTCATGTTTAGGTGTGTTTCGACTAAGTACAAAAATCTACATGTGGACGAAAAAGGAACCTTCAAAAGGGCCAAATCTTACCGTCCAATTTCTTAAAACCAAACCTCCGACCAGGGCTCTTCCCTCCGAGGTTTTTGCTGCTGCCTCCGGCCTTCTTAGAAGCAAACCTCAAAGAGTCCAGCAGACAGTTCTGACTGGAAACCAGCAGACCTGAAACTAGCAAAGCAGGGATGTTTCAGTGAGTTTTTATTAACTAATTTCACTGTCTGTGCAGCTAGCTAGCTAGCTAGCTAGTTAGTTAGGTCAGCTTCCAATAAGAAAGCCTGCTATAACGGTCACCTTTACACCACACCAGACACGCATTTTTATTTTAAATTAAGCCCTTTTCCTACCTGCTCTGGACTTGAGCATCAAGGACGCCAGCGCCGCCATTTTGAACGTCACCAATACGCAATATCCTAGACGTCATATCCGGATCCTTCTGCTGTGTTCAGCGTGGGAAATACGAGTTTCAAAATAAAATTAAATAATCTCACCTATATTGTCTATTAACTCCCATTATCACGTATCTACGGAAGTAGTATGGAGAATTAGGAATACATTTTGCTACTTATATTCCATAAACGTGATGATAATATTGTATAAACATGATAACTTTAGTTCTTTCTGATTGTAAACACATTAAATAGTTTCAGATCAATGACAGGTGTTATGTGCCAGTTATTAGATCACTTATTTTTATATTTTTATTTTTATATTAGTATAATTAATAGATTGGGATATCAAAACAGTCAGGATAGTACCATCAGAGAATTGGAAGAAATGTCTCACTGTACCATATAGAAGTATGGTGGCCTGTGTGAGGCTGCGGCCACCCCCAAAATATTGGTTGGATGCAGATTCTATGCAGAAGACAGCAGATATCATAATAATTCATATTCAATTCAGTTCATTGCTATAGCACCAATTCACAACACATGTCATCTCAAGGCCCTTTCGATTTCACCAGATCACACAGTCAAATTTATTCAATGTTTTCTATCTAAGGAAAACCAGTTGATTGCATCAACTCATTGACTCGAAGGCAATCCCTCACACTAAGCATGCTTGTAGCGACAGTGGAGAGGAAAAACTCCACTTGTATGATTAGAATGTAATAAGTATTCACAGGAACATCAGCATTTAAAAATTGGATCTTCAATGATAAATCTTTTAGGAAGTAAATTGAATTCTGCTAGAAATCAGTTAATTGGATAAAAAAACCCCACTGGATTATTTAATAGTATTTAAATTAAGAATATAAGTGTGTGTATGCATGTGACTATACACACATATTAATTTATATGTAAGTATATTGATATAGATAATGTGCAGATTAATGCATACCAGTGAGGTATGAATTAATAAGTTCCATCTGACATCATTGATAGTCACACTCCAGTCTGGTAGGTGGCGGTAAATGCACCTTAAGTTAGTTGCCATCCGCCAATAAAAAAACATAAGAAGAAGAAGAACTCCGTAATTAATAAAGCCTTTTTTTATTTTTACATAACACAAAAATAAAAAACAGAATATAGTAGGTTGAACTATAGAGCTACACACTCATGTACAGTAGGTGGCGATATGCACCTATAACCTGTTTGCAATCCGCCAATCTAACAAAGAACAAGAAGAAGTCTCAAATCCGATGGTCAGTGAATGCAGCATAACCCGGGGAAATCAAACATCGGCTCACCATGATGTATGTAGCCACAAAAACAAGCTTCGGTTTGTAGTTAGAAGTTAGTTGAAGCGCTGAATGTTTGGTTTATTAGAAGCGGGTGCAGCAGGGTTCGCCTTTTGTTGTTTAAATTGAACTTAGCTTCTCTGTGTTATCTGTCGTTTGTCTTTCTAAGGAAACCTTAATGCTGCGCCAAACTCAATTTAAGAAGTAATTTCTGTCCGTCCAGCGAGCTCTTTTTAGGTGCCCGACTAGTAGCTGGAAGTTTAAAAAGCAATTATTTCTGAGGCAACAGATAAAGTCACTCTGACAGACTTTGTGTAAATGGTTCCTCCTTATCTTCTAACAGCAGAGTCTGAGGTGGCAGTTAGTGAAGCTCAGTTACACACCAACATGAGATTGGTTGTTGTTGCCTAATTTACCAGCTCTTAACTAACCTTTATCATCAAGACAAACTGTAAATGTTCTGTTTTTTTTTTGTGTGAATGTGTTAAACCAGAGGGGGAAAAGGCAAGAACCTGACTGATCATCCTGTTTCTGTGCTTTATTTGTAGATGTGATGGTTTTGAAGGCAGCAGTGGTTCAGATGAGGAGCTTCCTGTGTTTGATTTCCTCCAACCTCGTCCAAACACCGATGTGGCTTCCCAGAAAAGCTCAAAGGAACCAAACCAGAACTGCTTTTACTCTAAACCCTTCATCTCCTCATCAGTTCAGGGTAACTCTGGATCTGTTGACGTGATGATGATCAGCAGCGACTCAGAGGATGAGTTACCGTACGTCCCTCTGGCTCAGAGACTGAAGCTCAGACAGGACAGGGCCGTCCTCACTGAAAGAAATGCACCCAACGAGGCGGGATCTGAGTCGGAGCGCCTCCTCAGCTTGCATCAGGAGAGAAGAACGACTCCAACGAAGGTAGATAACCCTCCTCTCAGGGCTTTCTCTACATCTGAGAGCGGAGACCCCTCTCCTACTCGGACAAAAGCCCCAAAACGGACAGCTGAGGAGATTCAGGCTTCCAGGGAGGAGGCTCTGAAGAGGAGGCAGGCCAGAGAGAGACAGCAGCAGGAACAAGAAAGGCAGAGAGCGGAGAGGAAAGCTCTGGCTGAGGCCGCCAAGGCCCTGAGGCCAGAGGAGTGCATCAAGCATATGGTGGTAGCTGTGGATCCAGGTAGAAAACCGAAACATCTCAAATCTGATTAATCAGAACCCAGATCGGTTAAATGTTTGTTTCTATTGTAGCTCTGTTGCAGCTGGAAGGAGGCGGGACCCTGCTGGCAGCGGTGCAAGCTCTGGGCTGTAGCTGCTCCATAGAGAAACAGGAGCTCCCACGCAGCGTCACCTGGGCGAGGAGAGCTCCCACTACACAGGTAGTAAAAAAAAAACAACAAAAAAACTCAAATGCTTTGAACAGGTAGCAGTTCTGCTTGTAACAAAGCCCTATCTCAGCTCCAACTACTCCAACCGTTTCAGCTGGGCGATGCAGGCTGTGTGCCAGAGCCTCATGTGGTGATGCAGATGACGGTGGAGGACTTCATCACTCTCATTCACAACTATATTCAGGTGAGCTTGAGAACGCTGGCGCCTGGAGTTTGGAAAATGGCTTCCAGCATTTTTTCTCTGACTGTGACTAACTGGATGTGCTCTCTTCATCCTCTGACATGGGAGCTGGCTCGGTGCTCGTCTGCCTGGCTGTGTGTTTCCTGGATGGGTCCACCTTTTACAGCTGCTTTTTGTATCTCTGCTTCTGTCTCCTTGAACCCCAGTCAGCCTCGGCAGATGGCCGCTCACACTGAGCCTGGTTCTACTGGAGGTTCCTTCCTGTTAAAAGGGAGTTTTTCCTCTCCACTGTCGCTACAAGCATGCTTGGTGTGAGGGAGTGCATTCGAGTTAATGAGTCGATGCAATCAACTGGTTTTCCTTCGATAGAAAACTTTGAATCAATTTCACCGAATGATCTGGTGAACCTTGCCTTGAGATGAATGTGTTGTGAAATGGCGCTATAGAAATAAACTGAATTGAATTGAATTATTAGGAAGTGAAACATGAGAATAACTGGAATAAAAAATATAGATGCTTGGATGCTCAGGAAAATTATGGGACATATACAGAAATGGCATCATACTCAGATAGATGTTAAACTTCAGTTTTGTGATTAGAAGGCACTTCTTCTGGATGTGGAGGAGGAAATAACAATATGTTTCCTCAATATGTGTCTGATCTGCAAAACCATTCGCCCCCTCCTTGGCTTTATTTTTTCTTATTTCTTGCCTTTCTGACTTGGAGTTAAAATGGATTGTTTGAGTTTTTTAATCTGCTGACGTGCTGCCGGTCAAAAAATTCCATTATAGATGCCTGCTTTTCAGGGCTTAGTCCTGTTTCTCTCTTAGATATATCTATGGGCTCATCTGTTTAACTGTTTCTCTCCCAGACAGAGCCCCTGTTTATAGATTCAAGTTTATTTTATTTGTAACCCAGCCTTGAGCGGCACTCCAATAAGGCAAAATTTCAGTTTTGGTACAAACCATCAAAGATATGCCTTGCTGCCTAAAAAGGCGCTGTCCATGCAGTAAGAAAAAAAAAAAGGGAAAGGAATCACAATCGGCGAGGGGAGGAAAAAAAAATTCATACTTCAAAAATTGCAAAAAAAAAACTCAGCAATTGCTCCAACAGAAGACAAGATAAGTAGGGTAGCAGGGTATATGTTGTTCTTCTTGAAACTCCAATCACCTTATTCTGCTGGAAGTTTCTTCCTATTTAAAAGGGAGTTTTTCTTCTCCACTTTCGCCTCATGCGAGTTCAGGGTGAGGGATTGCTGCAGAGTCAATGACACAATACAAGTTAATATCTACAGTCCTTGACAACAGTCTTGTCACTTTCTAGAAACAATGGTGTATTTCCTGATTTTTAATTCATCCACTGGTTTCAGAAATTGCTCCTATGAGAACTTAAACTCTCCCAGATTATAATCAAGTTACCTAAATAAGTTTGCTTCACTTAAGAAAGTTCGATTATTTGGCAGATTTCAATAAATTATCAATCTTTCATCGTTTTAGCAAATTCCAGTTGATAGATTGAACATCATTTGGGAGGGTTTGAGTTCTCACATGAGCCAAGATGTTCCTAGAAAATTGATAAGTGACAAGACTATTGTCAGGGACTGTACTGTCGCTATAAGTTCATCCAGGAGGAGCAAATCTTGCCAAGTCATTGACTCCATTCAAGAGGAGTTTTTACGATAAAATTTATTTTTTTTTATCAATCAGCCCATATCATCCTGACTTTCATGACTCATCAACCTCTCAGTGGTGTTGCAGCTGTAAAAGATGTGTTTAAACTGAACTAGTTATTTAACTTTTGAAGGTTGTTTTTTTTTGGTTGCTCCAGAGTTAGCACTCTCTAAAGCGGAGGTCTTCAACGTTTTCCAGGCCAAGGACCCCCAAACTGAGAGCGGAAACCCATAATTATATAAATTGTATTATATCAAACTGGTCCTATAGTCACTCTATTACAGTTGGAGTAATGTAACAAAAGTAATTTCTCCCTGGGATTATTAAAGTATTTTGATTCTTATTCCTCATTGATGGGACAGGTGTTGTGAATGAAACGGTGCCCAGCTTGAAAGAGTTCCTGTGTGTCGCTGAATGTGTGCATTGATGACTGAAAGACATCTTCTGCCTCCACTTATCTGTTTAATGCAGTGTGTTGAATTCATGTTAATGTGGATTTAAAGATATTTAAAATAGTGGAAAAAATTGCAGGGGGAACATAAAAAAGTCTAATCAACCAAAACTTTCGCAACCCCCATGCAGTACCTCCATGATTCTCTAAAGTTTATGAACATAGTTCTATTCTGATCAGAGAAAATTAACAAAAATGAATTTTAGGCTTAGATACTATTTTCTGAACAAGACCTTAAACTCTAACAACAATAAAGCAGCAGAATGAATATCTTTAAGAGTCATTATTCAGGATAAATGTGTATTAATTCTGTCTTTCTGCCTGTTTTAACCCAGGTGGAGAGGCATGGCAGGTCAGACTGCAGTCCCACCCTCACGTCGTGGGTCCAGGGGCAGCAGCGGCGTCATCCCGCCAAAACACTCAGCCTGGCAGTCATCGACTTGGAGAACTACTTCAGGTGAGTTGGCTCAATGAAGAGGTTGAAAAAGAGGTTTTTATTGAATCAGATACAAATTCCTTTCATTCATCTGAGCTCAGTGGCAAAAAATCAGGGTCTAATTTCCTTTTTAGCTAGAAAACTTGTAGCAAACGGATGAAGTTAGTTCTTGTACAAAAATACAAAACTCAATTTGGAGAAAATAATGATTTCCAACTATCAATCAGTTTACTATCAACCAAAAGAAGCAGATGGCATTCAGGGGGAGGGTACAGCGGAGAACCAGAGGGAAATGCTCACTGGGGTAGATAGAGCAGCAAAAACAAAAAAAATTACATTTTAACTGTATAAAAAACATATTTTTTTGTGGATTATATACCACAGTTTAGTTATAACCTTTCTAACTCGTGTTTAAACTTGTCATTTTTTAGCCTAAGCTGCTGTTTGCCTAACTGTGCAACGTTACCATCCGATTGGTTACCTAAAATAATGTTCTTTCATAATATTTTCTCAGGTCTAACCTTGGTAAGATCATCCTACACTTAGAGAAAACATTTCCCTTAAATTTTACGATATATGTATTTTTAATACGTAACAAATTCCCATTTACTTGTTTTTAGATCATTTTAGCTCAAAACTATAAAATAAACCTTACCTGATGCATATTCATGAGTTTACTATAGATTATTTTATTCAATACATAACAGTCAGGTTTATATATGTAGTATTGATAAAGTATGATGCGTGCTCTATAAATGTGCCTCAATGAGTGAATTATATAAAGAACTAAATGTATGTATTACAAATAAACAAACTTTATTATACAAAGGAATTTGGATCATGTTAGGTTTATTTAATAGGTTTGGTTTAAAATGAGCTGGAAAAAAGAACACAGGAATTTGTTATGTATTAAAATTACATAAATCTTAAAATTCGGGGGAAATATTTCTGTCAGGTTACATGTAGCTGGAAGAACATTTTTATTTGCGTTAAAAAAAAGTTTTTTCTATCCAAGAGAGTTATTTTTAATGATTAATGTTCCTAAGATTTAAATGAGAACCATGTTTGTTTTCCAACATGCATCAGATTTGTTGTTATGTATGTAATTAATTAATCTAATTGATTTATTATGCGATTTAAAAATCAAATAAATGTCTGTTTTTATGGATTAATTTGTAATTATTTTAAAATAATTTATTCCTTCATGTATTTGCAAACCTAAAACAATCGCATATTAGTTTCTATGTACTTCAGTTCTTTGATGGGAAACATTTAATGTAAAAATCCTAGCTGGTGCTTCTTGTGCCAGCTCTGGCTGACATCAGTGCTGCTATAAATGCTCGCTTTTAAAGGTTTCCTGCCAATCAGAAAAAAAACCTTTGTTTTTTTTCCCAGAGCTCAGAAGTCTAACAGCCAGAAGAGGTTCAGAGAGGCTGTGGCTGGGGAAGAGCCAAGAGGAGGAAAAGAGAAGAAGAAACATAAGAGTGGTCACACTGGGAAGCTGCCAGAGGTGTCCAGAGTTGAGGTGGAGGAGGTAGGATGGTCATCTGAGAGCAGAAGAAGAAGCTGAAACAAACTCTGTTCACTCTGCAGATAAATGTAGTCCTAAAACTATTAAATAATCCATTATTAATGGGATAAAGCCACTAAAGAGGTTTTTTTTTTTTTCCTTTTGAAGTCGGGTTGTTTGAAGTTTTTTGAGTAGTGCATGCGTGCGTTGCTGCTGCGTCAAACAGCTATTTAGTGCTTTTTTTTTTCTCAGCTGAAGGCGCCTGTGTTTCTCCACATCACTGCGCTTTATTGTACAAAGGGCAGAGAGAGAGAGAGAGAGACTGATGTTACAGTTTGGTTCAGTCTATTATCTGCTGTTCCTTTCAGCCCTCTGCAGATTCACTGCAGGTCATTATTTTATTAGATTTAAACTAAATAAATGTCTATTTTTTTAAGTATTCATTTTTTATTCAGATAAAATAATTAATTCTTAAGAAAATTAAATCCGTTTGCCATGTATTAATTCTGACTGATAAGTCAGATTTCTTAAAATAGCATTTTATTCCAATAGCTTAAATGCACTAATACATTTTATACTAGTGTTGCTTAATACTAGTACAAAATGGCAGCTTTAACCCTCACCTTTCTTTTTCTGTTTTAGATTTAAATAAATTCAAATTTTTCCCCCTAACATTTTACATCCTAAATGATTTCTCTGCAATGGGATGTTTTAATTTCTTAATATAACTCTACAGTAGAAAATGTTCCACACTATGCAGCTCATTTTCTCTAATCAATGTTCTGATCTTCAGGGGGTTCAAAAAAAAGGAAATGAAGGCACTCATCTGATGGTGATTAGATAATCACTTTCTCTGGCTGGGGGGGAGGAAAATAATCACAAAGTGTTAAATCAGAACCAGTAAACAGCAGCCACAATCAAACTGGCTCGTTGGTTCAATTAGCCTCACCGCTGTTTGAACATCTCTCATCGGGTCGCCTGAAAGTTAGCTTTTGTGATCCAGGTAACCTGAAATGGTTCCAGCATGTCCAGTAGGATTTTCACAACAAATTAGGATTTAAAAAGTAGCAAAGAGCTGTAGATGTGGCACTTGGAAGTAGAAACTGCATGACTACCAGGATTTTTTATTGTTTACAGGAGAGTCTGACCAAGATATAAGGTAGAAAGAACGACCTGCTGTAATGTTCCTTATATTGGCGCAACATTTTTTTTTCTTCTTTTTAGAAAACCTTCATATCTGCTTTATGACTTTTTGTTTTATTTCATAACTAAATAATATTTTTCTTTATCTTTACCTTAAAACAGGGCTTTGGTGAAAAATGATTTTATCTGAAATGTCTTGGGCTTGGCTTATGCTTCAGACATCCGCATGGCCAAATTACATCATTTTTAGCTTCCAATCACCCCAGGTGTCTGTGGAGACACAACATCCACCAGGGAAAATTTGTAATTAAAGGCATATTGGAGGATTTTTGTGAATTTTTTTGGGGAAAAAAAGCAGATCCAAAACAGTGTACCCGTTCCCGAGAGGGAACGCCTATTAAACGTGTGCGAGAGCATTCACGAGCCCGGTCCTCCTTGAGCACCCTCTGCTTTAAAGTTGCTGCTTGTATCTCTTATAGAAGCTTACTTTCCAAAAGAAGATTTGCAATCTTTCCACTATGTCAGACTCACCACTGCGGTGAAGCGCGGCAAGAAAGGTGAGCTTTAATTACAGTCTGAAACCGTAGCTCACCACAGATATACTGTACGCCTGAAAGTTGCCAATGCACAGAAACAGACAGCTACCTGAGGACGAAAACGTAGGACGGCCTTACTTAAACATATCACCAGAATAATTGACAATTACGAGGACCAATTGTTTATGTGATCCACCCGAAAAAAAGAAAATCCTCCATTATACCTTTTTAAGCCGAGACATCTACGTGGCAAAACATTGCAAGTGAGTTACAGCTCTCAAATGAAGGGTTCACAGATGAAAACATCTAGAGTCCTCCTGTGATGGAGCCTATAAATGTCACCACTATCAACAATTTGTGCAAAAGGCTGAAGTGGCTTTTAAAAAAAGTCAGAAACTGCTGTTTTCTATTGTGTAGCATGTTATTGGCTTGCTGCAGATGTTCTGCGGGGAATATACGTGCTCTAAGCGTGATCCAACATTTCCATTGCTGATTGGGGACATAAACAAGATTCAATTAAACAAAAAGAAAAATGTGCAAATGCTTCATATTGTAGCGTGGTCTTCTTCCTGGACGATGACGTAACTCCTTGGACAGGAAAACAAAGCTTGCATGCATAAAAAAACAACCAGCAGCTGTAGTAGTTTTTCTCTATATGACGTTAAAACACCAACAAAATCATGTTAATCTGTTGCTCAGCATATGGGTATAACAACCGTCTAGGAAGAAAGGACCGTATATCATTTTATCACTTCGAGGTGTGTCGCTGCCTTGAAGAGAAACAGCTGGCAACCAAATACAACTAGCAGAGTTTGCAGCAATCACTTCTTAAGGTTAGTTGTTATGCTCTAATTATTGTTGTAGAGATTTCTTTTCATTTAGCCAGATGTGGGAATTGCCTCAGACGCTGTTGGGTCATAACATAATGCCATTTTCAGACTATTGCTTATCTGCTTATCATTTCAGTTGCATTGCAAGACTTTAGAGGCATAAGAGGGAAAATCATGGCCCCTTGTCGACTCACACATGACCACAATAGTATACCTCTCCTATCATATATATAATGCCAGGACTTGGGGCATTTTTAAAAGCATGTACATGGCTGCATAAACCATGTATTCTTTGCAGGTGCAGCTCTGCTACATAATTAATCGTTGTGGAAACCGTTCACTCTCCAGAGGTAGATGGATTGGTCTCAAACTTTTAATGCATCTGTCCTGCAGGTTTTAGATCCGTCTCCTTGACAAACCAGATACAAATACACAGCCTGGCCAATGAGTAAAAAAAAAAAAAGGCACCTAAATTAAACTAAGCAAATATACACAAGTAAGTATTTAATTAGCCCGAGCTGAAGCAATGACTTGCTCCTTTTTTCTTAAACAATTCTACATTTTCTACATTTTCCTTAGGAGCATAAAGACTGGACTCTGGAGGACTGAAAGATGTTGGGATTTCAAGAGTTTAGATACTAGTCAGGTAGATGAAGGGATCCACCCATCTTGCCTTGTGCCTACTGTAAAAGCCTGTCGGGGTGAGTGCAGTTGGTTAGGTTCAGGTTCAGCAACATTAGTTCCCCAAATGAGGACGGCTGACTACCGTAATACACTCAATAACCAGGTCATTCCATCAGTGGATTTATTTTTCTCTGATTCCAAGATGACAATACCAGCATTCATTGGATGAGATGCTCAGGGGGCATGAGACGTTATTTTTATACATTTTTTGACCAGCACAGTATGTTGATCATAACTCCATTGAGAATTCTTGAAATGTACCAGAGAAGGCTTTGCACGGAGGTCAGAGTCTCCCATCATGTATACAAGATATAAAATTCATGCAACACTGGATGAAAATGAGCTTAAGCCCGTTCAAGGAAACACTAGTTTTTAAAAGTTTCCTAGCTTAGCTGTTTGATTCAGGTATGTTGGACAATAACTTGCAAGGCCAGATTGATAATGTGCAGCACTATGATTTAGTTCTTCCATTGTTTCTGTTTTCTCAAAGGAGCATCATTCAGCACCGCCTCCTGAGCCAATGCTGTGAAACAATGGCTAGTGCCCGCCTACCAGGTTTTGGTTTTAGCCAGTCAAAATAACAAGTAAAAGTGTAAGCAGACGCCATGAAAAACCACAGCAATGTACACATGGAGGTTCTTTCTGTTACTCTTTAAGAGATAAAATCATGGATTTTATTTGGATCTCCTCCTGTGTAGCTATGTTTATGTTGGTTCAGCTGTCGGCTTTACAGAGCTTTTTTTGTCACGACTTAAACCTTATCCCATAACCCTTAAATCCCCCACTCTGTTCCGCTCCACTGTGCTCCAGACCACCTGCGCAAAGCCTACAGCGTCCGTGGTTCCTACTGTCCTGCTCTGCACCGACTTCCTCAGAGCTTGAGGAGAGCATACACGATATTATTGTTAAATTCATTGGAGAAAAACATGCGGAAATGAACGCTTAATTTAATATGACACATTAAAAAATTCAGCATATGTGCAGTTTCTGCCCAAACATTTTCTTTTCGTTGTGGATTTGTGTAACAGGGATAAATAGGATCATATAAAATTTGTTTGTATGAACTATGTTTGTTCTCGACTTCCACATTCAGTATGTCAACATTCATGCCTGAGATAAGTTAGCTGCGCTCTTGGAAGTTTTTGTGACTGGATTTGATTCAACTTTTAAACCTCTCGGTATAAAATAAATATTATGATCTACATGAGAAATCTGCTTCCTGATTTGTTGAAGTATAAATAGTTTGCTTCTATTTATTAAATTGATTTAGATTTTGGGAACATATAAAAATCTGTAGTACAAAATCTGAAGTTACCATATTGTAATTTGACAAATAGGATCTTCTCGCCGTCCTTTTTCCTGTTTGGTGCGATTGCAATTTTCGATCTTGACCTGGCCCGACGAGAGTGGATCAAAAAACAGCTCAGCTCCATATTTTGACTGTAAAGGATGGAAAAGACGTCTGTTTCAAATGGTTGAAGAAGGAGCGAGACCAGATGGATTCTCATCTGTTTGCAAACACACAAATGCAGTGAGAATTCACCCTGTAGGAAAGGTTCTTCTTAAAAAGGACGCACCTACAAAATGAGGCATGCCTGCTTTTGTAGATTTAATTTTCTAAGTAACTTGGTTAATGATCATCTGGTCAATTGGAGGCCTTGGAGGATCAACATTTTATTAAACAAAGCTCTCAGAAAAGTAGCATTTCCAGCCTGTAAGCAGCCGCACACTGGATTCCACGTAACTGATTCAAGTATACGGTCACTATTCGAACAGGAAAGCATGTAAAGCAACAAAGATACTTCAACAGTGGTACTCCATGGTTCACAAAACGGGCTTCAGTTTATTTTTTCCAATTATTCTCATCTTAAGTTGTTTTCTACACATATTAAAGCATGTTAATCTTGCTTTTTTAATGAATCATTTAAAGCAAAAACATGGGAACCTCTGAGGGACAAAATGGAGTATGATTTGTTTTAATTTATAGAGTTTTTGAATCATCCAACCATCTTTAAGTTCATGTTGTCATACTAATACACTATTTTCTTGTGTTTAAGCTGATGGGATCTTGTATCTTAGGTCATTTTAACCCCAATAATGTTAACACTGTCAAATGTGCCATATTAATGTGTAAATTCAGCCTCATTTGCTAATCAAGCTTTAACTTGTGAAAGAAATTTAAAATGTACTGATGTTATTTAAGAGTTTAAGAGTTTTTTTTAAATTAAGAAGTATTTTTTTTCTCACACTAATGAGAGTAACTTCTATGCGTTTGCTTCTATAAATGCCTGTGCAACGTTTTTTTTTTTCCTCCATCCTCACTGAAGCATATCTAAAATCCCTTCAGGCTATGGTCCACCTCCAGCTTCACACCGGCGTCTCTGTCCACTTCTTATCTACCTGGAAGGAGTTCTCAGACCACATCACCATGACGACCAAAGCAGTCGCTGAAGCCCCTTTCAAGTGAGCATCCCATAGCTCTCTTGTCTCTCTCATCACGGCTTGGCTGAGCGCCGCCTCTGCCGGATCATACGGTCACTTCCCACACGCCTCTTGGTTGTTTTCAGGAGAGAGCGAGAGCAGACCGGCTTCTCCTTCTACCTGGAGAGCGAGTGGGCGGGAGGCCAGCGGGTGGACAGAGCCGGGAAGGGCCTGCTGCAAGTGTGGAAGAGACAGATTCAGCAGTTCAACAGAGTGAGCCCAGATGTGGCCGCTGCCATCTTGGCAGCGTATCCTTCCCCGCAGCTGCTCAGGAAGGTTTGCATTCACCTTCATTACGACCAGCACAGATTTAGTTGCTTTGCAAAAGCTTGGAGATGCAGAAATCACAAACAAAACTGAAATATTCTTCTTCTCTTTAATAACAGAGACAAGTAGTTTTATGTAATTTAGATGTAATCTGGGTGTCTTAATAATGAGCATAAATGTTGGACGTTCTGTCACTAATTATCCCCCAGTGGGCCACCAGTTCAGAGACATACTCTGTATTACCATAGTATCTACTCAGGTGTTCTAATGCCTTCCATAGCTACAGGTGAATAAATCAAGCATCTCTGCTTACAGAATGTTTCTATAAACCTTTTTAAAGAATCAAAATTCGAAAAATTTTAGGGTGGTGTTCTGATAGGATGTGCAACAGGTTTAACTGTTAAGCTTCTCCACTCCTATTTTCAACCATTAACTGTTTTATAACAAAGGAATTGACTGAAAGCAGCAGCCATGAAGTGGAGGGCTTCTTAAACTGATGGAGCGGGGTGAAGGTTGGGTGGAGAGAGGACGGCAACTTTCTATGGCATTTCACTACAAAGGTTTAAATAGTTTAGAAATTTTTATTAGTTTATATTTTCTGGACTATAAGCCGCTACTTTTCTCCCCATGCTTTGAACCATGTGGCTTATAAAAAGGTGCGACTTTTCTGTAGATATTTTCTAACCGTCAGAGGAGGAAGTCAAAGTTGGAAATGAAAGAAGGGGCTAATTTCTTTTTTTTTTTTTTAGCACAAGAATGTGCTAGCAGCAGGCACGAAGAATTCGATTGTCCTGAATTCACACATTTTGACATTTCTTTGCAGCATTAAAGCTGCCGAACCAAAGAGACTAGGCTCAACTCCTGTAGAGTTGAAATAAATTGGTTTTATTTTTGTAACCAGGTTGCAGTGTATCTCTGCCGAGGAACCCCTTGAAAATGAGATCCAGATCTCAACGGGGTTTACCTGGTTAAATAAAGGAAATAAAATGAAATGAAATATATACCAGGGGGCAAGACTAAAAACCCAAATAATACAAATAAAATCCCTGATAAGGACAGACCGCTGCAGCAAAACAAATGACCTGACTGCTGTACTGCCATCTGGTGGCGTAATGCAGTACAGCAAAAAAAAAAAAAAGCGAAAACAACAGCTGTAGACTAGATCTCGTATTAATGCTGTACGATAAAAAACAAAATTACTTTTGTAAACTCTTATTACAGTTTTTTTTTTTATTTCAGTTAACCAAAATATTTTCTAATTGTAGTTTTCCCCATTTTGTTTGTTTTAGTTAGCGATAATAACTTCAGTCACTACAAAGCTCCAATCCTTCAATGCGGCCTTCAGATTAGCTCAAGAACAGCTTCATTCTATGGCTGAGCAGTTGCATCCATGCTGAATGCCTCAGCAGACCAAAAAAGGTTTTGGAAAGTTCCAGCCTCCTAACTTTGAGATATCACCTTACTCATCCAACATGCACCAGTGCACAAAGAAAACTCCTTAAAGACATGGAGGAGGTGCTTTGCTGTGGATGAGCCTGACTAGCCTGGATGGAGCTCTGGGATCAAATCAAGCAAAGATGGAGACTTTGGCCTTCTCATTAGGGCTGCAACTAATGATTATTTTGCAAATCGATTAATCTGTTTTATCAATTAAAAATCAGATAGCAAAAGGTTCCCTAAAGAAGATTTTTTTTACAGAATGAGGTGAAGCTAAAACATTTCCACCTGAGGAGATCTGCATAGAGCATCTTCAGAGATTAAAATATGTATTTTTTTATCTTAAATGCAAATATTCTTAAATAATTGTTTACATGGAATTTGTGGCCTTGTGGTTAGAGCATAGAGCTTGGAATCCTGAGGTTGTGAGTTCAAAACCCAGTCCCAAAGACTGAGCAAAACAGGGGATCCCTAAGTAAAAGACCCTTAACCCTGCACTGCTCCCCTAGAGGATGGGTAAATGCAGAGAGTGAATTTTATTGCACTGTACTTGTGACAGTTTAATGATGATAATAAAACGCTGAAAAAATAAAAAGTTTTGGTATAATTACTGCTCTAAGTGGGTCGCTCTGTCAGCTAAAGGCATGTCTAATAGAGTCTCCATACTCCAGTTAACGATTAATCTATTACTGAATTACCGGTAGTTGCTGATTATTTCAATAATCGATTAATCACAATGAATCTGATTAATTGTACTCATCCAACATCCTTCTATTACTACAGTATTATGTGCCTGGAAGAATGGTAAAATTATCATGCTGCTATAATGTGTGTTTTTTGGGGCATGTTTTCTTCCTAGAAAAGTGGAAGCTGTCATGTTGAACCTTATGGATTAAGTTCATATGAGAGTCGAGGATGAGCGAATATTAATATATAATAAATGGGTTCAACAATAGGATAGAAAAGGTAATAAAATACAAGAATCTTTTGAAATGGCTCAAATAATTGGTATCTGTGAAGATACTTGTTAGTAGTCAGTATCTTACCTTTAAAGTTTTGCAATAATAGAGGCCCTGATAGAGCATTATAAGAAAATTGGTCCTGGAAAAACTTAAAGTTAAACAGTTTACATTTTATCACTGCTGCATTTTACTAAATGGTGATGTTCATTTCTCTGCTAAGCTGCTGATCATTTACTGTCTGAAAGCTGTACAAAACAAAATTTTGTTTTGTATCTGTATACAAAATGAAAATAAAAGTTGTCTAAGTAATTATTTTTAAAGGTTGTTTCATTAATCTGTATTTTTACTCCACAGCTTTACCAAGAAACAACAATATCACAGAATTGAATTAATAAATAGCCAAACGTTTTTTAGTAAACATCTTTTATGAACACTTTTATTGTTTAAATGAATTGAAGATTTTCTTTATTTAGATCAAGTACCAGAGAAAATATGAAATCACCATTTATTGTGATGAAATGAAGCCAAAATATTCCTGATTCTGTGTCTGAGTCTGCAGAAACAGAGCGCGTGTTGACCTGCATGAACTGTTGCTCTGGGCTGATTGTCAGGAAACAAGAGAGCTGTCAGAAAGACAATACAGTGGTTAGAGGCCACGGTGGCAGAGATTGGTTTCCACTCAGCTGAGCCTCACATTTGGAAAAGGCTAAGTCCCCTCAGGTTTAAAAAAAAAAAAACTCAACTGAAGCTATCGATAAATAAGCAGAAAAAAAACAGGGTTTCAATCCAGTTATGGATCGTGGATAATGAGATTCAGTCGATCAGAGTGAAGAAAAGGGCAAATTTCCTCTGTCATGGATGATGATGATGATGAGGCTGTATGTCAGCTAAAAGGTGCAGCTTTTTATCTTCTTCATAATTATTGATGTCCGGCAATGATTGGAAGTTTTATGAGATAAGATTCTCTTACTAAATCCGTAATTTTGGTTATTATAAAAATATTGGAATTGCAGGAATTTCTGCTATGAAATAAAATGAAATAATTTTCTCTTGTTTTTTGTCAAAGTAAAGTAGACTATGATACTTTTATAAAACTGTAATCTTCAAGACATCCTTCCTTAAAGCTCATGATCTCTCTGCTTATTCGCAGGCCTACAGTCAGTGTAAGACTGAGAATCAGAAGCTGGCTCTTCTGGCAGACCTTCTGATCCGCCGAGGTGAAGGCATCACCTCCACCACTCGGCGAGTCGGCCCGGAGCTTTCCAAACGTCTTTACCTCCTCATGAATTCCTGTGACCCTGAGCAGATTCTGGATGCTGCTGTTTGAGCTTCCGGCGTTCTCCTAACTCTGCTCTAACCCTTCAACTTTGATATGTCATAATAAATGGAAGTTGGAGATCATGGCATTTCTGACTAATTGATCAGTTCATTCAGATTGTGTCTTTCTGCAATAAAGTTTTATATCAATACAGTTCTTGACTACCTTCCATTTCTTTTATAGAGCCTCATCAGATAAAAATAGAACCTTCTTTTGTTCAGTATCTAATCTATAATTACTGGAACTAATGATGCAAATGTTCAAGAGCTGAAAGGTTATGTGACTGTTCAAAGTCCAAAGGAACATTGATGCACTGATGATCAGATGTTGGTAGGATGCAGAATGAGTTGCAGATTATTAAGAGGGCAAAAGGAGTGCTGGAAAGCATTATGCTGTAGGGTAAATACTTTGCATTGAATCTCTGCTTGCTTTTATATTAGTCTGCTTTAATGAACTTTCACTGCCCTAAATGTTTAAGTATGATATGAAGTGAAATACCTAAGATCCAAAAGCTCAGTGGGGATGATAACTTCCTAAAGGAACAAAGTGAAAAATCCGTTTTTACTGTATCAACATCATTGTGAGTTCATCAAGATATGTCAGGTTTTTGCCATGATGCTTCCAACATTTATAATCTGACCGTCCAATGCTTAGTTCCATGTTTTGTGTGATGCTGTAGTTCTACTTGTGCTTAAACAATGAAGCTAAAATGCTTTTAAGCTATTGTCAGGGATCAGAACGTTGGACCTAAAATTCAGGCAGACTGAAGTGATTAATAAAAGTGACTGCAGTTGAGTCCACAGTTGAGCAACCAGGACTAATTGGCTGGAACCTCTGTAGCAGGGAAAACAGGTTAGTGACCATGTAACTCTGACAGATGACGATAACGAGCGTGTGAGTCACTAACTTGGTTATAAAGTTCAGTCTGAGCCCAGAGAGTTCCAGGAGCCTAAGCCAAGAGGGCTGCAGAGCCAAGGAGGCAATACAGTGCAGAGGAGGAAGAGCAGGAGTTTCAGAAAGGAGAAACCAAAACTGTTGTCGATGAGGAAGCAGAAGTCCAGGCTAGAAGATCAGAGATCCAAAGAGTTATTGTTGGGAAATTCAAGCCGAGATCGGGAGACAGATTTAAGGTTGTGAGCAGGCAGAATTAAAAGGAAGTCCGAAGACAGGTCAGGCAAACGGATCAGAAGAGGGGCAGGCAGCCTCAAAGGTCCTCGAGCAGAATCTAGTCAGGATCAGGCAGTTTAAGTAGAAGCTGGAACAGGTGGATCTGATGAAAAGTAATGAAAACTAAGCAGAGCTAGGCAGGTGGATGGAATGAAGCTATAATCCAATCATCAGTGCCAGGATCATGACGGCTAGTATAGATTTGTGTTAATGAGCTGATGTCAAAAATATGTAATTTTTTTATCTAATTCACAAAGTAAATTAAATATATCAGAAATGTATATATATTTATCTTGATATTTATCATTTTCCAAGTGGGAACAATTTTGGGTTTTCCAACATAATTTTCCAATAATATTAGCAACCAGTTAAAAATGTGTTTATTCTCTATTTGATTTCATTATGAAAACCTAAATGTGAACTAGCATGGTGCTTGTTAAAAAAAGAAATACAAATCTGCATTTGCTAGATATAAGTTATCCTTTTGTTTCTGTGAAATTGAACTGAATTCTGTGAAATGTATTTATTTATTGCCTTATAATGGAATTTCTATAGCAGTGTTTTATGTGTGAATGTAGTGTGACACATAGTTTAGACTATTTTAGATTAGATTAGATTCAACTTTATTGTCATTACACAGGTACAGGTACAAGGCAACAAATTGCAGTTTAGGTCTAACCAGAAGTGCAATAGCAGCAAGAGCAGGATAAATAATGGTTCCATAAATACAGGACATGGGTTTCTACTGTAATCCCAAATCAAATTTCCTTTGGGACAATAGTTAATCTTATCTTAAATAGGTCATGCAATTTACTGCTCTAAACCACTTTTATTTGCTTGACCTAAGTCAAAAATGGCTCTTTGGATACTAAAGGATGCAGACCCCTGGTCTACACCTTAAACCGATTGAAACGCTAAGAAACAGAAGCAATCCATTTCCTTGGTTCTTCTATCCCATCTTCACTGTGCAGACTCCACCCTGTCTCTTTGAGTCATAAAGATGTTGCTTCCCTCCTTTCAGATTTAATCAGGTGCCATGTGCAGTAAAACACATCCCTCCCCATGTGTTTTAAATGCTGCCCAATTGATCTGCCTGTGTCAATGCACTCCCACCCCTGTGCGTACGTCGATCCTTGTTTGTTTGGTGGTGTGTGGGGGGAAAAAATGCCGCCACAGATCTGCTCCACTTTGTTTTGCAGTGCCCCACGGCTCATTTCCACTGCATTAGCAAAAATGGAACCTGACCAAGTGGTGATGCGAGCCTGGAAGAGAGGAAAAAAAAAGGGGGGGGGGGACAGACACGGATGGGTAACGAGCTGTTAAATGGGCTTAAAGAGATGAGCAACATGCCTCACACACCAGGCTGTGTGCAAAGAGCCACTGTGGTGCAGCAGCCTGTGACTCAGGTTCCTATTGAAGAAGGGGGGTAAAAGATCGGCACTGGCAGAGTTTAAAGAAATGCAATCACAAACATTACCCTGGGATTATTCAATTCTTTAACATAATAATCTGAATTAGGTTTAAGAATTTTTAAAGATCTTCTTTCTCTGTTAACAAATGAAAAACAAACTTGCAAGAAAAGTGTCAAAACTTAGGAAAACTCCTGTTTTATAAGAATATCCATGTTACATTAATTGTTCTCTGTTGATTGCCTGTATGAGTGGGTGTATGAATAGATAAATGTTGGCCTCTGTTGCCATGTGATGGACTGCCAATTTGTCCATGTTGTTTTCTGAAACCGGCCCATTGTGAGCTGGGAATATTCATCAGCCGCTACGTGACTCTGCAAGGATAAGCAACTGTGGAAAATAGATGGATGAAATTGCCAATATGCCAACTTTTCAATCTGCTCTCTTTGTTTACAAACTATTAACTGACTGTTTTCTGCAACCTGCAGTTAAATGATTTACATCCATATTAGAAAGACAATCAAAGATTCTGCTTCATCTGCTTTTTAAACTTTGGCAACTGCTTGAAACACAATCGCTCCAGCCATAAAGCCACCATTATGTCTCTCTGGTGTTGCTGTATGTGTTCCAGCTTCTAGAAAATACAATCTCTTTCGTTCTTATCTGTAGTCTTTATGTGGATTAAATAACCAACTTATGCAAGCTCTATTAGAAGAGCCAGTTAGCTCTGTGCCATGACTGTGCCAGGAGAAAAATACTTTGGTATAACTGACAATGTAGGGGAAGGGGTGAAATTGGATCTGAGTGTTTTTTATCTGTCCTGAAGGACAGCTGTCAAGTTCGACGACGGCATGTTTCAGTAAAACCTTTCCATCATCCCTCGGTGCTCTATATAGAGGGCAGTACAGGGATTTGATATGCAGCCAATTTGGTAGCTTTTCCCAATTGGATGTATAAACACTCTGAGTTATAGATTCTAAAAAAACAAAATCTGGAAATGAACCATGTCTGATTTTACTTTTTACACCACTAAAAGTAAAGGGATAGTAGATATAACTGGAGGTAGGAGTTTAAGTGCAAAACATAAAACCTGTTCCTCCGTTTCTTCTTGGAAAGAAGCATGTTTACCTAATTTACATATTTTGCTGTTTGATCCCTTTATGACTGTTGCGTAACCTTGATATGGTTACTTCATTGTTTTTATTTCTTTCTGTTTTTCTCCTATGCCCACTTTTCTTTACATGCTATAACGGCTCTTTCTACTTCCCACTGTTTTTGCTTTCTTTGCTCTGACCCTTTGCTAAATTACTGATTTAATTTCTCCTTAACTAAATGGTGATACTATATCAATTTGACCACTTTTTGTAGCTTGTTTTGCATATTTAACCTTTGGTTCTCCACTCATTACCTGTATTATCCTGTTTGAACTCATTATCTGTATAAAAACACCTGTCCATACACTCAGTCAAAACATTCAAAGCTGTCAAAAATTGGTGTGCAAGGACATCAGGACCTGTATAAGGTTCGGATGGACCATAGAAAAATAGGGAAGCAGATTGTTAAGAAGGAAACGACTGTTGGTGCAATTACAAGAAAATGGAAGAAGTTAAAGGTGTCGATTGGTCTTCCTTGATCTGAGGCTCCATGCAAAATCTGACCTTGCAGAACATTGGTGATCATGACGAAGGTGAGGGATCAGCACAAAAGGGAATGGTGGATCTGGTAAATTATCTGAAGAAAGCCGAGGCCATAGTCTCAAGGAAGACTATTTGAATCAAATTACACTTACAATGTCCTTCTGCTAAAGCAAGCACAAGTGTTCCACTGACCACCTGGAAGATCTAGTGAAGGAATGGTAGAAGGTCATGTGGTCTGATCAGGCAAAAGTAGAGCTTTTGGGTCTAAACTCTAAACTCTGTTCGAAAGGAGGATTGGTGCAAACCCAGGAACACCATCCTAAATGTGGAACATGGAGGTGGAAATATAATTTGGTAATGTTTTTCTGCAAAGCAAATGGGACGACTGCATTGTACTGAGGGAAAGATGGATGGGATCGTATTGGGAGATCTAATCCAACAACCTCGTTCCCTCAGCAAGGACATTGAGGACATAGTCGCCAGCCTTCTTACAGCATAACAACTACCTGAAGCACACAGCCAGAGCAGCTAGGAAGTGGCACCTGAAAAAAACTACTTGTTAGATCATATGTTTGATTCGGTTCGGTTCAAATCTGAGAGTAATATTTCTTATAGTGAACAAAAAGAAGGAAACATCTTTAAGAATTTATTCCTGTCACGCAGGCAAGAGGTGCCTCTTCTAAAGTCTCAAGAGTCACCACCACCAAAAAAGGTGGTGGTTGAGCCTCTCAGGTCATCATAGGTTAACCATCGGAATGTCCCTTGGGCTGACATGAGTAATAACAGAAAATAATGAAATAGAGATAAATTAATCTTCAACAAACTCAAGGTCCTGGAGAGGCCTAACCACTCTTTTAAAATCTTTGGAGAAGCTAAAACCCTAAGTTTCCCCGCGACAGCCCCAAATATAGAAAGATCC